AAAAAAGGACCGGGTGTTCTCCATTTTTTTTTTTTTTATGAGGAGTGTGCACACCCGGGTGTTGAATCCAGGTGTGCACACATCATTTTCCTTTAAAATAATATTTACCACTTCTAGTCAATTTATGCTTATTATCACATAAATTAGTATGAATGAAATCCAACAAAGATGTATTTTTAATGACAAATTTAAAAGATGATTTAGTAATCTTAGATTGTGCACAGCAGTCACATCTTTTCATGTAAAGTATAGAGTTACATTTAGGAATATATTCATGAGGAATCATACGCTTTAATGCATTACTATCTATATGTCCTAATCTAAAATGCAAAAGACGGTTAACATCACTAGAATTAACAATATAAGTAGAATTAGATGCATCCTTACTTATACTAATAGCATACTTATTATCTTTGGCATAACTTTTGCCAACAAAGGATCCTTTCTTGGATATAATCACTTTTTGGGAATCAAACATAACTTTATTCGTGGTATAACTTATAGTTAAATCTCCAATTTAGTCCTTGAACTATTGTATAAACCTCTGATTTGGTCCCTAAACTAAAAAAATCCCTGATTTAGTCTCTAAACTATTGTATGGACCTCAATTTGCTCCATATTGTTTATCAATTTACCCCAAGTTGGTTCTTTCATACAAAAACCAACTGACGTGTTTTGTTATTAACATAACACATGGCTATTAAGTTATTGTTTTTCGACATTAAGTTATTGTTTTTTGTCATTAAGTTACTGTTTTTTATCATTAAATAACAGATACGTTAGTTATTTTTTATACAAAAGGACCAACTTGGGCAAATTGGTAAATAGTATGGACCAAATTGGGATCCGTACAATAGTTCAGGGACTAAATTAGTGATTTTTTTAGTTCAATGACCAAATCAAGGATCTATACAATAGTTCAAGGACCAAATTGAGAGTTTAACCTAACTTATCAATTTTACTGGAAATATTTCAATTGTAAATTGATTTTTTTTTTCACTAAACGACATAATTCTTCAGAATTGCAAATGACAAAAATTGTGAAATGGATTTGGCAAGTATTGGTGTGGTATACAATTTCATTGGCCAAAAATTTTGACAGGTAACAAATTACGAAAAAAAAAAAATCTTCCACATATTACTTTTTTTATTTATAATTAGGGTGTCTCTAAAATAATTTTTATGTATTTTAAAATTAATTTTTTTAAATAATTTTAAAGATGCGCTCCTCATATTAATTTCATACATTTAAAGAAATTAATTTTTTTAATATTAATTTTAAAAATTAAATTTTAAATTGAATTTATAAAACAAAATTTATGAATCAATATATTCAATCCCTATGTTGTTCAACGTGGTATTCATGATAAACATTTAAGTTAGGGGCGGCGATGGATCTCAGTGACATTAAGACTTCTATTCAATTCCTGTATTTATTATTGGTGAGTTTGAGAATTCTGTTGAGATTTTTGACAGAAAAGTATCTTCTGTCATTATCCCGACAAGGAATAAGGAGTCTCTGCATGTATACAGAATCTCGTGAAAGTATATGGTGAAGCTTTTTTATTATTATTATTATTATTATTATTTTGGTCAGATATAAAAATACCTTAAAATTTATTCATTCCCAATCCATAAAAATAAAAAAAGTCCAAAAATATTTTAAAAATTAGTTATTTTTAAGTATTTTTTATAATGTATTAAAAAAATAAAATAAATGTAAATTAAGATAAACTTATTAAGTAAAGAGGTGACGTAAGAAAAACTAGAGTAATATAGAGAAAAAAAAGTGAAAATCAAAATATTTGTAGTTAGGGCTTATAAGTTTTGAAATTTTTTTTTTTTTAACAACTACAATTTTTGAAAGAAAGAAAGAGAATTGAAAGAAAAAAAAAATAAAGAAATTGAACCAGTTTATGAGACTGGAAAGTTACACATCAACTAAAACGTCTATAAAGTAAGTTGGAAAAATTAAAATGTTTGAATTTATTTTATTATAATATATAAAAATACATTATAATTTTTTATTAATAAAAAGAAAAAACCTTCAACCTAGCCTCGTGAGAAAGAATATCTTAAGAAGCGTGCTACAGAAAATTGTCGTCTCTAATCTAGGATCCATAAAAAAATAAAAATATAAAAATATAAGAAAAGTCGAATAAACAAGAAGCATCACCTTCACTTATAAATGCAGACTCATAAACTGCACTTCAACACCATCACCTCTGCATCTACCTTTTTTCTTTTTTTGAACTGCTCACCTCTGCTTCGACTACTTAGACCAATATGGAAATTCCTTACATTGCAGCATGGCTTGTAACTCTAGCCCTCATCCTCCTCTCCCTCCACCTCCGTCGTCACAAACTCAACCTG